CCAAAAACTAATTAGGTCTCTGCACAGTCCTCAAGTAACTCACCAGGTTTCATTGAAATGTGATCATTAATACTTGAAATATCAAAAGCTGAAAATTAATTAATTATGCAAATTAGGTAATCAATATGTACTGATATTACCCCAAAAACTATCAGGTCTGTGAAGTGTCATATGACATCTATGTACCAAGTTTTATTGAAATGTTATGATTAGTACTTGGGATATCAGTGGAAAAGCTGAATATTTATTAATCATTATGCAAATTAGGTACTTAATATAAACAGATTTTTACCCAAAACTAATTAAATCTTTGCATTAGTTCAGAGCATCCATGTGCCAAGTTTCATCAAAATCCAATGAGTGATTCTTCAAATATCAGTGGAACAGTCATGGAACAGCTAAAAATCAGCTAATTATTATGCAATCTAGGTAATTAATGTTCATGATTTTTACTAAAAACTAATCAACTCTGCGCATTATCCCAGAGCATCTATGTACCAAGTTTCAACGAAATTTGATTAGTTGTTCTTGAGATAACGGTGGAACAAAAAACGTGACATACATACATCCATACATTCATACATACAGACAGGGTAACTGCAAAAACATCCTTTTGTGCTTCACACACAAGAGTCAACAAAATCAGCCATTTTGAATACATGTATAATGAATATATAAATTTGAACATAATCAGTCAAAGCATGTCAGAGATATGGCTCTAGAAGTCAATTCATTAAAACAAAATTGTCACTAGTCAGCCATAAAAAATAAAATAACGTGCATCAGGAACCCGTAATGTCTAATGTACAGATGTATGTACATTTATGTACTAAGTTTGAAATCCATCCATAAATGCCAGAAATGCTTGATATTTGATGATTTTTTAGCACAAAAATGGCCTACATTCAGCCATTTTTAATGTGATCATCAAACCAATATATCTGTATATCTATGACATGATGTATAATGAATATTTGAACATATCAGTCACAGCAAGTCAGAACCACATTCATTAAAAAAAAATGGCCGCCAGTCAGCCATTTTGAATCTTATCTGAAAAACAAAATGATGTGCATCAAGGTCCTATAATGTCCAACATATATACCAAGTTTGAACAAAATCCATCTGTAAACAGCCGAGAAATGCTTGACCACAAGTTGGCGCCAGCGAGATTCAAAAGCCAATTGTTTAGTCAAAACCCAAGCAGTTAGCCAATTCGCTAGCAAGTTTGCAAATTGGCTGCCTCAATACTTCTGAGACTTGCTGTAATTATAAAAAATTTTATGCATAGCAAATCAGAGAGTATTTGTTTGATGAATGCCCACATACATCTAAAGTTGTCTTAGCAACTTTTTTCTAAATTTATACATGTTATATAAGATTTTATAAGATTTGCTGCCACTTGCTAAGATAGTTATGTTGAGCATGTTTCAAAGCAGGATGAAAAACAGTTTTGTATATTTGGATTTTAAGTATTCCAAATGAAAAGTAAATAAATCAGTCAGGTGTAACTTGTGAATGACTTAACTGCAGATTTGAATTGATGGCTTATTTTACTACACATGTTAAGACAATACAGCTGTAATAGAACATGTTGCACCAAGAGACATTACGTGAAATATTCTATTATATTGAACATTCTATTTTATGTCATCCACCGCTCTAGTCTTTATTTTCTCAAACTTATTTTCATATCTCCAGTTTTTTGTCATGGAACTCAAATTTGAAACTGGTCAAGGAGTATCCTTACTAGACTTGTTACAAGTTATCAGAGATCAAAAAGTGATTGTATTAAAAGAAAAACCAAGTGTGAAGAGGAAAAGAGATTTCCTAATACTGTGTACATGAGGTGACATAATGTGGTGAGAAATCACTTCCACTGTTACATTAAACTGGATACATACCAGATTGATCTGACTTCTTCAACTTTGCTGGTGAGTTCTTTGAGTAATATTGGCAATACTAAACCAATTGCTTGCTCACCAATTTTACCATTATTAATATCACATAGTCTGATAGATACCCTGCTTAGAGTTCTCAGTGCACTGTCAGCTGCTTGTCTTACTGATTCCTACAATGAAATAACAAAGTCATGGTAATGTCCAAATTACAAGACAAGTATATGATATCTTGGATAGCAGAATGGATAATACCACATCATATGTTGATTGATAATTGTGTAAGTTTT